AACAACATTGTCAACATATTTTCATTGAATAATTCTAACTGAATCAAACTCGATTAACAGATCATACATATTTGAAAAGACAAATGCTGCAAAGGAGGTAACTCAACCATACCGGCGATCAGTGGCAGCGGAGGCGAGAAGACGTCGTAAGGGATTATCGAAAGCCAAAAGCGCAATTTCAGGACTTGCAGAACTGTGTAAATGTAGCCTTCATGAATCGTCAGTATACGCATACGGTCACCGGAGAAGCGTCGAAAACAGCCGTTGAGCTCGTTAGAGGGCGGCACCGGCGACAATGAGAAGAGGCAAATCCTGATGAATGGATTTGAGGATGCTCTGTAACTATTTATAAAGGTTTTGGGATTTTTTTTATTTTTTATTATTATTATTATTTTAAGACGATTAGTAGTTTGAACCGGTCTGATGGGAGAGCGGTATTGTGTAACAGAATTCTGTTTATAGTTGAAAAAAATCCGGATTCAACTAGTGGAATGGGTTAATTTACTAATTTAGTGCCACTTATATTGATTAAATATTTTCTAATTAAAGATTTTATTTTCAGATAGGATTGTCAAAATAGGTTAACGAATCGGATTCTGATCCGACCTGAATCCAATCAACCCAAACATGATCCGATTAATAAATGGGTCAAAAAATTGGATTCGAACCAATGATAAGATCTCGTTCAAATCATATTCGAATCTTCTTTGATGTTCGATCGGACCTTCTTCAGATTATGAGCAATCCTTACTTGAACCTTAGTCAAATAGATTCTAAATTTGATCTAACTTTTTTCGAATGTTGTTCGCATTTTGCTAAAAATTTTGAATAAGGTTGGAATAAGATCTATTCAACATTTGAAAAATGCAATGTGATATGTCATATTGTTCTAGGTTTAGGTTTTTGATAGCGCACACGGTAAGTTAAATAATTAGAAAGAGTTGGAGATGTAAACTAAAGTTTCGTTTGGGACGGTTTTTTTTCAGCTTCTTAAAGCATCTTTTTTGTACTAAATTTACATTTTTATACTAAAAAGACGCTTTAAGAAACAATAAAAAAGCTGTCCCAAACAAAACAGAAGCTCAGATGGCTTTCGTACTACTTCTTAAAGCATTTTTAGCACACAAAAATTTTAATTTTTGTATTAAAAAGTTATTTTAAGAAGCAATAAAGAAGCCGTTCCAATTGAAACCTTAGGTTTTGTTTGGGATTGCTTTCATGAAATATTATAACAATAGGTGGTTGTACATAAATTTACATCATATAGAGCACATTACATAGGTGGTTGTAAGGACCATAGTCATCGGACGACATACGAAGATAGGAGGAACCGTAGTCGGCGAGCAACGATGGTTGGAAGGACCGTAGCCGGTGGTCTACGTTGATCGGAGGGACCATAGTCTGCGAACGATGTTGGTCAAAGGGACCGTAGTTTACGGGCGGGAGGGACCACAGTCGACAGGCGATGTTGATCTGAGGGACTGTAATCGGCAAGTGGCAGAGGCCACAAGGATCATAGTAGATGGACAACAGTGGTAAGATGGACCCTAATTGTCGGTCGACGGGAGGTCGGAGGGTACATAGTACGGCCGGCGACGATGGTCGAAAGGATCGTAGTCGTCGAGCAAAGTTGGTCGGAGGGGGCGTAGTCAGCTAGCGACGTTTGTCGGAGGGGGCGTAGTCAACAAGCGACGTTGGTCGGAGGGGGCGTAGTCGGCGGGCGACATTGGTTGGAGGGGGCGTATTCGGCGGGCGACGACGATTAGAGGGGCTATTGTCGACGAGCGACGAGGGTTAGAAGGGCCATAGTAGG